CCTCTAAGTCTGAACAACAAAACAGTCTCCAGACAATGATCCAGAAAACATCAAAGAAAATAAAAGGGACTACACAGAGTTATTGCATCAGAAATAATTGACATGGAAAAATTTAGTAAGTGTCATATGAGCAAGAGCTAATGATATTGAAGGAATAGGTTGAAGCTGTACTCAAGGCACTGACAAAAAAAAAGCAAGGCCCAGGAATCAATGAGATACCAATTGACATGTTTCAACTAACAGATGCAGCCTTGAAGGCACTCACTGGTCTATGCCAGGAAATTTTAAGGACAACTACCTGGCCAACTGCCTGGAAGAGATCCATATTTTTTCCCATTCCCAAGAAAGGCAATTCAACAGAATGTAGAAACTATCAACAATGTCATTAATATCAAATGCAAGCAAAATACTGCTGAAGACCGTTGAAAAATGGCTGGAAGAGTCATATACAAAGAATTTCCAGAATTTAAGCTGGTTTTAGAAAAGGCTGTGTCACCAGGAATATCACTGCTGATGTTAGATGGATCCTGGCTGAAAGTAAAGAATACCAGAAAAATGTATATTTATGCTTTATTTGACTGTTTGGAACATAACAAGTTATGCCTAACATTGAAAAGATTAGGAATCTCACGAAACTTAATTGTGCTCATGTGAATTCTATACCTAGACCAAGAGGATGTTGCACAAACAGAGCAAGGGAACTACATAGTTTAAAGTTAAGAAAGGTGTGTGTCAGGGTTGTATCCTCAATCAATCTATTCAATCTTTACGCTGAGCAAATTATATGAGAAGCTGGACCCTATGAAGAAGAATGTGGCATCAAGATTTGAGGACGACTCAGCAGTAATCTGCGTTATGTACATGATACAACCTTGCTTGCTGAAAGTGAGGAGGACTTAAAGCAGAAGATCAAAAATACAGCCTTTGATATGGATTGCATCTCAACAAAAAACAAAAATCCTTATAACTGGACCAATAGGCAATATCATGATTGATGGAGAAAAGATTGAAACTGTCAACAACGTCATCTTACTTGGATTCACACGCAACAATGTTGGTACCAGCAGTCAAGAAATCAGATGCATTGCACTGGGAAAGTCTGCAGTCAAGGACCTCTCCAAATTAATAACTAGCAATAATGTCAATCTGAGGATTAAGGTGCGTCTGATTCAAGTCATGGTCTGTTCAATTATATGCTATGCATCTGAGAGCTGTACAATGAATAAGGATTGTTGTTATTGTTGTTGTTTTGTGCCGTTGACTCGCTTTCAACTCATAGTGACCTTATGCACAACAAACCTAAACCCTGGTCTTTCCTGTGCTAATTGCACTGTCTCCGACACACCCATCCCTATTACCCCAGTCACTGAATCAATCCACCTCATAGAGGGTCTTCCCCTCCTGCACTGTCCCTCCAACCTCCCAAGCACGGTGTCCATCTCCAAGGACCTGTCCCTCCTTACAACATGTCCAGAGTATGTCAGACAAAGCCCCAGAATCCTTGCCTCCAAGGAGCAGCCCGGTTTAACCCTCTCAAGGGTGAATCTGTTTGTTTTCTTGGCAGCCCAGGGTACATTCAATACTTTTCTCCAGCACCACAGCTCAAAGGCATCAATTTTCCTTCTATCCTCTCTAGCCATTGTCTAAGTCTCTGATGTATAACAAGTGATTGCAAAGACCATGGACTGTATCAGATGCACCTTAGTCTCCAGAGTGACACTGTTGCTCTTCAGTACTTTAGAGAGGTCCCTAACAGCAGACTTTCACATTGCAATATGTCTTTTAATTTCCTGGCTGCTAGTGCCAAGAGTGTTGATTGTGGAACCAATCAGACTAAAGTTGTTAACAATCTCAATCTCTTCACCATCCATCCTGATGCTGCCAATTGGTCCAGTGGTGAAAATCTTTGTCTTCTTGACATTGAGCCTCAGTCCACATTGGAGGCTGTAGTCCTTGACCCTCTGTAGCAAGCACTTCAGGTCCTCCTCAGTTTCAGTGAACAGGGTTGTGTCATCTCCATAATACAGATTGTTGATGACTCTTCCACCAATCCTGACGCTACACCTCTCCTCAAAGAGCCCAGCCTCCTGGATAATCTGCTCTGCATACAGGTTGAAAAGCTATGGAGATAGGACACATCCCTGGCGTATACTCTTCCCAGTTTTGAACCATGCAGTGTTTCCTTGCTCTGTTGCTAAGAGAGGATATTTCTTGGAGAGGAACATCATGCTTGGAAAGGTGGAGGGTCAGGGAAAGAGAGGGAGACACACAAGCAGATAGATTGACACTGTGACTGCCGCAATGGGGTCAAGTGTGTCAGGCAGTGTCAGGATGGCACAGGACAGGACAGGATTCAGATTTGTTTTTCATAGGATTGTTATGGGTTGTACTCAGTGATACCTAACAACAGCAACATTTTATGCATGCCAAGAAAACAATAATCCCAACACTAGCCCCATAGGCAACATCATGATAGATGGAGAAATGATAGAAATTGTCAATGATTTCATCTTACCACCTTGGTAACAGCAGTTCCTTGGAAAATAACATCGTGCTCAGAAACGTAGTGGGTCCACAAAGGAGGAGAAGACCCTCAACAAGATAAATTGACATGGTGAACTGTGAACAATGGGCTCAAGTGTGCAGAGATGAGGAGGATGGCACAGGATAGGACAGGGTTCAGATTTGTCATTCCTAAGGTCACTATGAGTTATGGTCGACTCAACTGGCACCTAATAACAAGAACAAATTTACACGTATTTCCTCTATTTTCTGTTAGAGTTTTTACTTTATTTAAATTTTATAATGCATGCCTAACATAGAACGTTTATTCATGCTACTATCTCATTCAATACTATGACAATTTTTTCTCTGGCAATATGCTGAATACAAACTGTATCTTCCCAGCTGATGTCTTATGGTATAGATGTTTATCGTTTTGAAATTTCTTCATGTCTTCTATGATGAAATATTGTTGTCCATTGAACTAACTTTTCTTCAAACAAGTAGTTGCTAAAATTGCCATGAAGGTTCATGTAACTTCTCTTTCAAAACAGATTTTATTAATTCAAGGAAGCAACAAAGGATTTGCAGAAATGAGGTTATATATCTAGAAAACAAATTATATTTGTAATGTCTTCATTATTGTTTGTATATTTTTGGTCCTAAATGTAAGTCTTAAATTTTATCCCTTAGCTACTAAGATTCTAAGTTAGCATTGATATTTCTGCACTTTATACAGTTTTTGTATTGAATGCTAGCAGGTTAAGATGCCATTGAGCCTCTTCTCATCAGTAGGGACCCACAAACAGCAGAACAAAACAGTGCCTACCACTGTGTCACCCTCAGAATCACTGCCGTGATCGAGTTCATTGTTGGAGTCACTTCACCGACCGGTAAAGTTACACTTATTTATTTATGGGCCATTCATTATTCCATTTAGTTCTTTATGGACCATCTTGGTGAAAGTCTTTCCCTTCTTTGTCCATCCTCTACTTTACCATCATGATATCCTTAGCCTACTTAGATAATCCCCTCTGATGCTGGCAGAAAACCAACATGACATATTGGTGCCCAGTCAGAAGGAGTTGCTCTGTTGATCCAAAATCTCTTTGATGGTTTTAATCCACCAGTGGTTCCAGGGGAGAAAGATGAGCAATCTCCTCCCATGTCATTGGAGGAGAAAACCTGCTGGAGTGTCAGCTATGAGTCAATTCCAACATGATGGCAATGAGAGTTAATGAGTCATCTCTTTAATATTTCTTTATCTAAATGTAACTGGGAACCCTGGTTGTGCAGTGTAGGAGGGTCCAGTACTTGGATAAGGGCATCGTATTTGAAAGTTGGAGGGTCAGTGAAGGAGGGAATGGATTGATACAGTGACTAGCAGTAGGCTCAAGTGTGTTGGAGATGATGAGAATGGCACACGGAACAGCAGGCTTCAGATGCATTACTCACAGGGCTGCTATGAGTAGTAGGTAACTCAACAGCACTTAGCAACAATCACCAACAAGTTGGTGGTTTGAATCTACTAGCTTCCTGACAGAAGATGGGCAGAGCAGTGCTTGTATCTCAGTTTCAGAAACCTGCTATGAATCGGATCTGATGGTTTGACATCTAACTGGTTATGTTTCTCCACAGAATCTTTACTAAAGCATCATTTTTCACAGACATTCTGTTACTTTAAATTTTGTGAAATAAAATAGTATGTATTCATCTGACATACTTTGGACATGTTGTAAGGAGGGACAGGCCCTTGGAGAGGGACATCATGCTTGGGAGGGTGGAGGGACAGCCTAGGAGGGGAAGACCCTCTATGAGATGGATTGATTCGGTGACTGGGGTGGTCGGGATGGGTGTGTCAGAGGCAGTGCAATTGGCACAGGATAGAGCAGGGTTTAGGGCTGTTGTACATAGGGTCGCTATGAGTCATAAGCGACTCTATGGCACATAACAACAATAGTAATCTGAAGCATAAATATTAAAAGTTGGTAATATTCTTACACCTACTGAAATCTCTCTATATAAGCACATTTTTTAATCTTTTTTTAATAACTATTTAAGATATTGGAGCTTTGGTGGTCCAGTAGTAAGAATCTGAGCTGCAATCCCAAAGGCACACAGTTTGAATCTACCATGGAAGAAGAATGTGCAATCTTCTCTTTTCTTTATATTTTCAATCTCCTCTGAAAACTCACTGGAGGGTCAGCCATGAGTTGGTTCTAACTCAACACCACACAACACCAATACAGAGATTATAGGTAACGTGGAGCTCTCGCGGGGTTGTCCTCTACATTTTCGGTCAACACAGTTTCAGTCCATTCTAATAACATTGGTCTTAAGTGTTTTTAAAAATATCTGTCTTTACAAAATAGAGGGGAAACATCTCACAATTTGCATAGTAATTAAGAAAAATATCTCCCTTCTTTTAAAAAAAGTAAAAATAACAAGAAGAAAAACTACATGTTTATATTTTCTTACCTTCTTTTGGATAACCTGGCTCACATAGAGTGCTCAAGTTGTGGTTCCAAAAAAGACGTCTCTTTCTCTTTTTCCTTCCCATAGTTTGCCATTAATTGATAAAATCTATCCATAAAAGAAAGTACATATGAATTCTGATATTCACAAAGATTAAATAAAACCTATAATTATTAATAAAAACGTCAGATGTTGACCAATGGTTTCTCAGGTATGTGTCGCTGGTCTCGATGATCTCAAGGCTTCTCTTGACCACCACCTGTTTATAGAAGACATCATATAAGCAGCTTACACACTTTCAAAGGCTGAGCTACTAGAAAACTGATGAAAGTTAAGGGTCTTGCATTTGCCAGGGTTCTTATGAGGACCCTGAAACAGGGTCTACCATTGCATTCACACAATAAGCATCTGTCTCTTCTATTATTTCTTCCTCTCTAATTTCCCTTTGGAAGGGGTAAGTATTGGAGTAGCCACAGACATGTTATGTTTTTAATTTTACATTATTTTTTCTGAAAAGCAATCTTCCCAATTGGGGGGGAGGGCACAGTAATAACCAAAACACCAAAACTACAACAAAGCACCTGGATATGATTCCACCTAATTTTTTTGCCTCTTTTATTATTAATTATTATTATTATATTATTCATTTTAATGAACATTTACAGAGACTTTGGATTTCCATTCATTCATTGTTGCACTTTTCTCCCTGCCCATTCCTACCCCCCACCCCAGTTTGCTCTTCTCTTTGAAAAGTAAAAGAAAAATTCTTTCATTGTTATGCAATCCCTCCCTTCAAGTCCACTCCACTGTGCAACCTTTGCTCCGGACTCCTGCCATGACAATAATACCTAACCACATATCCCTTTTAAACAGTTCTCTCCCTCATCTGTTTCAATGCAGTAGACATTATTTACCCCATCTTAAAGGCTTGTTGTTGTGTACTGTCAAGTCGGAACCGACCCACAGCTGACCCTCCAGTGGGTTTTCAGAGGCAGTTAATTGTATGGAAGGAGATTGCCCATCCTTCTCCTGTAGAGCAGCTGGTAGCCTCGAACTATGTGTTTTCAGGATTGTAAGCAGGAGCGGTATCCACTTCCTAAATAACATGCCTCCGGAAATTCTATGAACGTTGATAAATGTTAATAGTTGTAGAGGGGCTTCGGGCCTTTTTGTTCATAGGGGTGTTATGAGTCGTGCTCAACTCAAGGCAGTCAGCAACATTCTTAAAGGCAACAGTAGATTATAGATTGTATGGTCAGAGAAGGGAAGAGATACATGGACCCTTGCTTGAAAAAGTCTATTGAATACTTGTTTCAACATTTGTTCATTGGAGAGCAACATGTAAACATTAAAGAGCATTTTTTTTAATTTGCATTAGGTTTTCTATTTAAGAAGTAGAAAAATCAATTTATAGTCTGTAAATCATAATATGAATAAGAGATATTAATTCACAAGAATATTATTCCCATATGTAATATTATTACTGTTAGATATATATATAAAAAAAAAAAAAAGCGTGAGGGCGCAGGGGTGAGAAAAAGAAACTGGTTCCAAGAAACAGACAGGTGGTTTATTGTGTGGTCTGAGAGGGCTGCCAAGGGACAGGACCAAAATGGCTCCCAGACAGTCGGGGGTGGGGGGTGGGAGGTACTGGGGGGGTGGAGTCCTTCTTATAGAGGTCCCAGGGAGGACTAAGATGGTATTTCTTGGAATTTGGGTTGTTAATTAAATTAGCTTTGGGCTATTTTGATCAGGGCAGCCTCTTATCAGGATTTATTGTCTGGTCTTGTCTTTGATATAACCAGCTTAGATGTTTTCAGGTTTCTTGGGAAGTGATCAAGCTTAGGGCAGAGGGGGAAACTGCCATATTCTTCCTTCAATCACAATGTTAAATAATATTTTAGGTTACTATATAATACTCATATCATTATTTTAATTTTTTTAGCATTTTTCACTGTATCTTATAAAATTAAAAGATGTTATACTATTAGAATACGACATTATTTTGATGATGATGATAAAAATCATGCTTTTTTATTTTGCAAAAAGTAGTTTTTCAAGTACCTGACTACATGTTTATCTGCTATTTTGCCAAGGTTTTGGATCTATTTTAGAAAGATTAAATGGACAAATTGTAAAGCTAATGATCAGAAGAAACAGAAAAATAGAATATATCAGATTCCCAAATCATTGCCCATAATCAATAAATTACTGTCTCTCTTCAATAAAAAAAAGATTTAAAGAGTTAAAAATGTTACTGAGTTAAAAATGTGCTGCTGAATACACAGTACATCCAGATATTAAAATGAACAGACATATTTATATATCTTTGACTGTCTTGATTTGGAGATGATCAACGTGGCATGGATTGAGAATACTTACAGAAAACAATTAACATGCAGCCAGAACTCGATGTTATGAAGAGGATTGCATTAGCTAAGAATATACTGAGTGAGAATTAATAAAGGAAAAGGACTGAACACCAAAAAAAACCCCAAATATTTGAAGATGATAAGATCAAGGGGTTTTTTTTCATGTTAGAGAAGAAAGAAAATGCACAGAGGTAAAAGGATGAAGATAGAATAGTATCTTGGAAAGAGAGAAAACAGATTATGTCAAAAGGAAAGACTGATCAACAGAGTGAACAAGAAAGAAAATGGATTTTAAAATATGCATTCAGTTATTAACTAAGATGTGTCCGGGAACGTTAGCAAAGGCAGTTTTAGTGGAACATAAGAGTCTTTGCTCTTCCCATGAGGTTCAACAAGTGAGGCAATGAGGGAGAAATTAGGACTGTTCCCTCTGTTGTCTGCTCCAAATGACATGTTTGGGTTAAAAATTCAACTGTGTTAATTTATACAGAACACATCTCTGTATTTGTGTGCTCAAGGAAATTCAAGAAAGGAAATATTCCCACAGAACAAATGGCTGCCCATAAAAAAACAAAGCAAACAGAAAAACCCATCTTTTATGTACTATTGTCAAAATATACGAGGAGATTTCATACACTAACACTTACATAGTAAAACCATTAAAAGAAGCATAGTCCTCAGCGGTGAATCCATAAATATCTTTGCAGGACAGGTCCACATCATGCTGAAGGATAAGGTTAACTACACTTGTTGGTTCCTCACTGAGAGCAATCATAAGGGCTGTTCTAAAGCAGGAGATATAAACAAATGTCGATTTATGGACCACAACGTGTATACTTTTAAAAAGTCAATCTCAGTTCGCATTCATTGGCTCTCCATCAGGAAGAACCACAGTGAGAATGTAAAAGTAGGGCAAATCTACTCAAAAACATGCACCCTTCACAGACTTAATGATCTAGAATACTGAAGAAGCAGCTAGTTTAATAGTTTTCAATTGCTCTTTTTTTTTTTTTGAGACCTAGTATTTTTAAGAAGATGACTCAAAACACAATAGAGGTCATCTTACCCCAGTAACAATAGCAAAGTTCAACAGAGCAGCAAACAACAAATGCTGGAGGGGTTGTGGAGAAATGGGAAGCTTTATTTACTGTTGGTGGGAGTGTAAAATGGTGCAACCATTCTGGAAGGTAGTATGATGCTTTCTCAGAAAGTTAGAAAAAGAAATACCATTTGACCCAGCAATTGCACTACTGGGAATATACCCTAAAGAAACTAGAACTGCCACCCAAGAAGCTTTATGCACGCCCATGTTTCTTGTTGTGGTTTCCACAATAACAAAGATATAATGGAAGCAATTCAAGTGCCCATCAACAAATGAATAGATAGAGAAGCTGTGGTGTTTTCACACAATGAAATACTACACAGCACTGAAAAACAAGAAACTCAAAGAACATTCTACAAAATGGGTGACCCTGGAGGACATTATGTGGAATGAAATATCTCAGTCACAAAAGGACAAATACTGCATAATGTCACTGTTATAAAACAGGGCTGACATGGGGGGTGGGGAAAAACTAGGAAAACGGGATAAATAAAGAAACATTGTGTTTAAATAGATGAGATAAAGAGCTGTCTAAAATAAATATATGATTAGGTATTATTTGCTTGACAACAGTCCAGAAAAAGAGGTGCATAGCAAAGTGGACTGGGAGGGGGCAAGGGGGAGAGGGAGAAAACTGTGCAACAATGAAAGAATCTTTTTAAAGAGAAAAGCAAACTGGGAGGTTAGGGAGGAAAATGTGCAACAGTGAATGAATGGAAATCCAAGTTTTCTGTAAACTTTCATTAAAATATCAATTAAAAAATTTAAAAAAAAAAATCACAACAAAACACCCCATCACTATGGAGTGAAGAACCTGAGGCTTTGGGCTGCTCACCTTAACTTCAATAGTTAACATTTGAGATGAAGAAATTGGGCTTCTGTATAAAACTGTAATGTTTTAAAAATAATAACAGTTTATCAGTTTGGTCCTATGCTTTATTTTCACAGAAAGAAAACCAGATTTTAAGGGTCTATTTAATTTGTTCAAAATCATAACACAATAAAGTATTTTCTAATATCAAATATATATGTACATATGTGTGTATATATATGTATATACATGTGTGTATATGTATGTATATGTGTATATATGTGTGTGTATATATATGCATCTGTGTGTGTGTGTGTGTGTGTGTGTGTGTGGTAAGAAGCTGTGCTGCATTCCTGAAGGCATGTGGTTAGAGTCTACCAACCGCTCCACTGGAGAGTGAGCTACAGGTTGGTTCCGACTCAATGGTATACAACAACAACAACAAAATACATACATAAATACACATGTCGAGATATACAGATATATACAGACATACATATGTATCAGAGATGATAAAGAAGTTCAGCCTGAAGCTCGAACACGCCTAAGAAGCAAGATTGGTGTAGCATCACCTCACATACTATGCGCATGCTTCAAGATAAGACTGAGGCTAACATGCTTGCTAGATGGTCAGTAAAAAGGAGAAAGACTTTCAAAACGATGGGTTGATACAATGGCTCTAACAATGGACTCGAGCACAGCAGTGCATCAAGATGGCATAGGATCTGGTAATGTTGTTACATTGTACATACAGTCTACATGCAGCCCACTTCAACAGTTGTTGGTATGTGCCATCAAGTCAGAAACAACCCACAGATGACCCTCTGGCAGGTTCTCAGAGGTAGTTAATTGTATAATAGGAGACTGTACATCCTTCTTCTGTGGAGTAGCTGGTGGATTTGAACCATATACCTTTGGGATTATAGTGCAGCTTCTTACCACTAAGCCACCAGAGCTTCCTATTTATATAATAGATATATTAATTCTTCAAATTGTTTGCTGAACAAATCATAGGAGAAGCTATATGAAGAACTATATGAAGAACAATGTGGTGTCAGGGTATCAGGATTGGGGGAAATCTCATCAATAATCTGTGTTGTGCAGATGACACAATCTTGCTTGCTGAAAGTGAAGAGGATTTGAAAGTATGTACTATACAGAAGATCAAAGACTGCAGCCTTCAATATTAACTACATTCTGACATCAAGAAAACAAAACTCCTCACCACTGACAACATTATGCTAGATGGATAAAAAGCTGAAGTTGTCAATGACTTTATTTTACTTGGATACACAAACACCCAAGTAGCAGTAGTCAAGAAATAAAACAATATGTTGCATTTGGAAAATCTGCTGTCCGGGACATCTCCAATGTCCAAGAGTAACAATACCAATTTAAAGAGCAAGCTGTGCCTGATCCAAGACTAAGATGTGTTCATTCCAAGTCTAGCCAATTACTTTCTCTGTGTCTGAAAGCTGGACAATGAAAACTGATGGCAAAAGAAGAGCCAATGCCTTTGAGTTGTGGTCTTGGAGAGGGGTCCTGACTAGCCCTTGGACTGCTCACAGAACAAACAACTATGTCTTAGAGCAAGTGCAGCCAGGGTGCTCCTTAAAGGGAAGGATGGTGAAATTTAATCTCATATACTTTACGCATGGTGTTAGGAGGGTCCAGTCCTGGGAAAAGGACATTATGCTGGGGAACGTGGAGAATCAAAAAAAGAGAAGAAGAACCCCAACAAGACAGACTGACACAGTGACTATAATAATGGGTTTGGCACAGCACAGGGCGAGTTTCAGATCTGCTGTTTGTAGGGTCACTATGAGTCATAGGTGACTTGATGGCACCTAACATATTTATATTTATATATATGTGTATATATATATATATATATATATATATATATATATATATGACATACATATATATTACATACTTTTATGCTATCTCATTTAGCTTCATTAATTATACCTTTGAAAGTTATCTGAAGCATTCACATCTGCCCCTCTGTTCAGAAGAAATTCTACCATGTCTGCATTATTTTCAGTAATAGCAAGTAAAAGGGGAGTATATCCATCCTAAGAAAATATTTGAAAATGGTTATACAAGATACTATTCCAACATTTTATGAATTTTAGACTTAAATCAATTTATTAAAAAAAAATTTGCTCATAAGAAACTTTAGAATCACATCTTAGTTAAAAAGTAAACTTAAGAAGTTATCTTAAATTTAGGTAAAAACCAAGAAAACAAATTGGAGTTGAGTTCATCAGAAAATGAAAAATGAAGGTTTCTATGTCCCTAAGATTAATTTAAATTGTTATTTAAGAGAAATATGTACTTACTAAGTGATGAAAATACCATATTTAATATATACTATCCTACTGGAGAAGACAAAAATTCTCACCACTGGACCAATTGGCAGCATCAGGATGGATGGTGAAGAGATTGAGATTGTTAACAACTTTGGTCTGCTTGGCTACACTGTCAGCACTCTTGGCACCAGTATCCAGGAAATCAAAAAACGTATTGCGATGGGAAAGTCTGCTGTTAGGGACCTCTCCAGGGTACTGAAGAGCATGGTATCACTCTGGAGATTAAGGTGCGTCTGATACAGGTTATGGTCTTTGCAATCACTTGTTATGCATCAGAGAGTTGGACAAGGACTAAGGAGGATAGATGGAGAATTGATGCCTTTGAGCTGTGGTGCTGGAGAAGAGTATTGAATGTACCCTGGACTGCCAAGAAAACAGATTCATCCTTGAGAGGGTTAAACCAGGCTGCTCCTTGGAGGCAAGGATTCTGAGGCTTTGTCTGACATAATTTGGACATGTTGTAAGGAGGCACTGGTCCTTGGAGAGGGACATCATGCTTGGGAGGGTGGAGGGATGGCACAGAAGGGGAAGACCCTCGATGAGATGGATTGATTCAGTGACTGGGGTAATCGGGATGGGTGTGTCAGAGGCAGTGAGATTGGCACAGAATAGAGCAGGATTTAGGGCTGTTGTACATAGGGTCGCTATGAGTAGCAAGCGACTCGACGGCACATAACAACAACATCTTACTGGAGGGTCAACCATGGGTCAGTTGCAACTCAACTGTATTCAACAACTATCAATTCAGTGTATAATATTAACACAATTGAGTTTCCATAGTGTTTTATTTAAGTATCCAGGGCTGGTACTTACTTTGTACTATTATGTAAACAAAATATTATTGAATAGTGCTAAAACACTTAAAATCCAAAAAAATAAGTAGTAATGGTTCCTCATAACATCTTAGTAGAACATGTATATTTTTAGTATAATTATTTTCTAATTCAACTCAATTCTTATCATTATTTGTGAACATTTAAATATTAATATAAATTAAGTAAAAAAGAGTAGTCTTTATGTTTTTGTCATTGTTATTGAGTAGTGTCAAGTTGGGACTGACCCATAGCTGTCCCTCCAGGGGGTTTTCAGAGGCAGTAAACTGTGCAGGAGGAGATTGCCCACCCTTCTCCTGCAGAGAAGCTGGTGGATTCCAACTTCATGCCTTTCGGATTGTAACACAGCTTCTTACCATTGGGCCACCAGAGCTCCCACCTTGTCATTGCTGTTGTTGTTGTTGTTAAGTGCCCATGTATAAAACAATCAAATATTTCTCATTCAATTAAGTAATTTAGACAGATAATATGTCACTTTAGACAGTTTGGAAGTTGATATAATACAATTCCAAATGAAGTAAAGACTGTTTTAAAAGGAAAACCTTAATGATTTTTAAGTAGTTTCATTCATCTCTTCTTCCCACAAATTTTACTCTTAAAAAACTCATTTTTTTTACATAACTTATGATTTAATGATACAAATCATCTGCAATGATTATCTTCTTCAGCTGTTTTTTAAAATAGAGAAACAGAAGGCTACCTTATTTTGAGCTTCAAGATTGGCCTTGTGTTCAAGCAACTTCTGTACTAATGCAATGCTTTGACCACACACAGCATAGTGAAGGGCAGTATTGCAATCACTATCTGTGAGATTTGGGTCTGCACCATGCTTTAGAAGAAGAATAGCACAAGTTTCGTTTTGACATTGCACAGCCTGTCAATATAAAATGGGTAAATGAGTAACTAAATATTTAGGATATATGGCATTCATGTTTAAAGTATGAAAATAAAGTATGGAAATCCACACTAGGTAAAATCTCAAACACATCCCAAATACAAGAACAGTTGAACAGAGAAACTTGGAACACACCTTAATCAGCGGAGACCTGTTTTCTCTGTCCTGGACATTTATTTTGCATTGTTTCTCGAGTAAGAGAAACACAATATTTGAATATCCATTAGCACAGGCCAGATGCAAAGGTGTTCTATGTTAATATAAAAAACCACAAAGTTAGGGATATTTCTTAGCTGGAGAAGTTACTTATTGTATTCCAAATTAAACCAGATCATACTTTGTTAAGTGTTCTTATTTATATTTACACAGAATTTAAATTATCATTACTTTTTAGTAAATTAAAAAGACAATGCAAATGCTTTGGATGTCAAATATTAAGTTTCACTTTAAGGAGGATTTGACAACAATGATGTGGAAAATATTTTTTTTTATTTTTTCAAACACCAGAAAGCCAACTGGGCCTTGAGATGGATGATAGGATGAGATAGATATCCCATCAAATGTAGTAGCAATCTCCCAAAACTGAGATATATTTACTATGTAACAGGAGGAGGATATTGCCTATATTCAACTACATGCCGTTCCCAATTCTGTATCTCACTCTTTTTGTCCACCTATTAATGTTGCCTTTTATATCAGACAAATGAGCACAAAAGAACACTCAAGTATTGTCTCAACTGTAGATTTCAATTTAATGCACTTCATTATATTTTACTTTTTAAGGAAGCCAACTTTTTATTATATATATATATATATCTTAAATAAAGCCAAGAAACATCATTGTTGAATCAGATAGAATATAAAGAAGAATCATGAAGGGCTCTTGTCCTCCAGCTTAACTCATTGGAAGAATTGTTATATCATTTATAGAAAGAGCAGGTCTAAAGAGAATTTATAAGACTTTTGTTTTACAACTTATTTTGAGATGTCTACACAGTGCTGTTCTGGAACAAGTGACTCTCACAAGTCATATGTTAAATTCTCAGAAACTATTTTCCCATTTAACACCTGATTGCGAATGCCAAATTGGCAAGAGAATTAAGTTTATGACCTTTATGAAGTGATTCAGTGAAGTGGTGTGGGAAGAAAATAGACTACTTTGTATGAAAAGAAAAAGAGAAAACCACCAGAAAATTGAACAGAAATCTTCATTGTAAATAAAAATTTCTAGTTATCAAATTATGAAGAAAAAGGATTCCCTGTATGCCCTGGGATTTGCAAAGTTTACCCAGAAGATTTTAAGGCTGCTACAATGACTAGGGAGGATAGAAGGAGAATTGACGCCTTTGAGCTGTGGTGCTGGAGAAGAATATTGAATGTACCATGGACTGCCAAGAAAACAAACAGAGTCATCCTAGAGAGGGTTAAACCAGGCTGCTCCTTGGAGGCAAGGATTCTGGGGCTTTGTCTGACATACTTTGGACATGTTGTAAGGAGAGACAGGCCTTTAGAGAGGGACATCATGCTGGGTAGAGTAGAAGGACAGCGCAGGAGGGGAAGACCCTCTATGAGGTGGATTGATTCAGTGACTGGGGTAATCAGGATGGGTGCGTCAGAGGCAATGAGATTGGCACAGGATAGAGCAGGGTTTAGGGCTGTTGCACATAGTGTCGCTATGAGTCGCAAACGACTCGACGGCACATAAAAACAACAACAACAACATGGTACATATTTTCTGGTATTAAAGCCAGCATGTAACTTCATTTCTCAAAATAAAAATAAATTAAAAAAGAGTGTTTTTTTTTCAAGTAAAGGGTTACGAATACAATTTTTGCAGTTAAAGAAAATCTTTGTAAGTAGTCCACATTAGCACTGTGACTTGGTAAAAAAGCAGAGCTCTAGATGGCTCCCTATGCGTTTGCTCGTTAATTTTTCAGTAATGACCAATCTTGAGGTAGCTGGGGAAAATGAACATCAAAGAACAAAGAGCATGATGGGAAAAGGGACAAAACCCTGGCAAGAAAGGTGGTAAGAGTGGACAAAATTGGGAGGTAAGGGAGCATTTAAACCTCAAATATTCATGAAATCACCTCAAAAAGAAAAAGCTACAACTTGGCTTGTGCCCTGGTAGAATCGGTAACCAGGCAACCTCTCAGCTCAGAGAACCTGGAGTAAAAACCAGGAGCAGGATGGTCTGCCCGTGAGCTGCTTCTCCTTGAGGGTCTAGGGACCCCTGCGTCCCCCTTGCACTGTCTCTCTTGGCTCACTGGTCCCCTGCTCTGTCCACCTGTGTTCTCGGTCACGCATGTTCACATCATGTTTCCTGCGCTCAAGGCACTTCTGCACTTTCTCCACATTCCCAACCGAAGTCGCTTTATGAAGTTTCCTTAAATCTCTATTCCGCAGTTTGTAGCCCGGCTGGGCTAGGAGCTGAGAGCTAGAGGCAGCGCGGGCCGGGTCTAGCTGAAGGTCAGAGGAGCTGCGGCGAGGTTCGTCCCTCCAGAGCCAGGGGCTGAAAAGCTTCTTCATGGTGGCGCATCTGGGGGGCCTCGGGATGCCTCAGACCACACAGCTGCCTCCTGACAACCTGCACGCCCCTCCCTGGCCACCCAATTTGAGGACTTCTCAGACCAGGTTCTTGCCCAGGCGCATGGCTGCTGAAAGCAGAGGCAGGAAGCTTGAAGGGCCAGCAGCTGCACCAGGGTCTCAGTTGCCTGGTAACATCAAGTGCGTCATCGTTATCGCCCTGTGACCTGGTTCCGGGCCATTAATTCTAGGTTCTCACCTGCAGGCTACCCATTGGTTCTCTGACCTTTGAATGGAAACCCTTCGTTGTTAAGGGCCTTCAAGTCAAGCCCGTGAACAGCCATTCTGAACCCTTCCCTGTCCTGCCACCCTCTTGATCTCTGTCACACGCAAGCCCACTGATGCAGTCAATATGTAGATCCGTCTCAATAAGGATCTTCCTCTCTTTCCCCGACCCTTTCTTTACCTTTCACAGCACGATGTCTCTTTTCCAAGGTCTGGTCCCTCCTGATAACATACCCAAGGTGTGTGAGACAAAGTTCCACCATCCTTGCCTCTAAGGAAAAGCTTGGTTGCATTTCCTTCAAGAGAGATGTGTTTCTTCTTCTGGAAGTCCGTGTGATTTTCAATATTCCTTAACGTAACACTATTAATTCAAAGACATCGATGTTTTGAAGTCTTCCTTACTGTCCAACTTGGAGATGGATAGCAAGTAACTGAAAGTCCTTAGCGTGGACCAGGCCTTCTTAGGGAAACCCAGGAGCTGTCTTAAAAAAAGATCAAGCATGGACCTACTGGCTTGAAGTTCAAAGTGAGGTTAGCTGCCCGGTGGTGAGATGTGACCTTGCCCTCCTGCATATTACCAGCCTCTCCTTGGGGACATGCTCCAACCTCTTTAACAATAACTGCAACTCTTACATTCTTAATTGGAAACATTCTTTTGAAAACACCATTTTCTCTGTGTCTACCCCAATTTCTTAAGTAACAAAACTCAAAAAATCTTATCCACTCACTGCCCCTCCAAACTTTTAATCTTCTGATTAGTTTCTTTTACATTAGTCACCTCACCCCACATCCTCTTTTCCTTAGTTCCCTAGGTTAAAGCATATGGCTGCTTATTATAATTAACAACAACAACTTTTCTTATTTGTTCACCTAAATAATCCAAACGAAATTAAACCCACTGCAATAAAGTCATAGAGTCAACTCTAACTCATAATATCCAAGACTAGAAATCGTTGTAGAAGGAGACTGCCCATCTTTCTCTCTCTCCCAAGGAACAGCTGGTAGATTAAAACTGCTGGGCTTTTGATTAGCAGAGCAACACGTAATAGTAATACGATACACTACCAGAGGCCTTTGGCAAAATGACAGCACTAGTTCAATCTAACCTTTTGTCTAAAACTTTTCTGCCTGGAACAATAACTTCTGAAGGCAGACCCAGCAATCTTCACCACCACGTGGACTCCCACAGAGAATACTCTTCAGAAAAAGAATTCAAGAGAATCAAAAGTATGTTACACACACACACACACACACACACACATCAACCCACAAACAAACAACCCCAAATTCTCTGTATGAAGAGAAAGAAGGGGGAAAAGAGAAGAGCCATCTGGTTTTAATGGTAACACACAGCAAAGTTTACCCAAATAGATGCTAGTCAGGTGAGAATGGTTGTCCCCTGTTTGTTCCAATTTGAGGGTAAGAGGGAAGTTAAATGTAAAAGTTAAGGAAGCTACAAGTTAAAGGAGTTCTGGTAGTGCAGTGGTTAAAAGCTCAATCACAGAGCCAAAGGTCATTGGTTTGAACCAGCTTCTCCTTCAGAGAAAAAGGTAGCAATCTGCTTCCCATAAACATTACAGCTTTGGAGACTCTATGGAGCAGTTTTACTCTGCCCTGTGCAATACTGGGCTGGAAGAGCCTCAGTGCCAACGGGCTGGAATTGAGTTCAGCAGTTATTGACCAAATCTTGAGTATTCTGGGCCAACTGCAGCCTAAGTTGGGGTTTGACTTGGCTAGTTCCTGCAGAATTTGTGGGACATAGAAAGATTGAGAAAATGAAGACAATTAGTTATAATTAAGAAACCTCAGTGGCACCATTGGTTGCTGCTCATTGTTTCCGACTCACCAGCCTTTCCCTGGGGCAAAGATGTTCCTACCATAAGGAAGACATGAAAATCACAAGAGGCAGTAAGGCTTAGTCCCATATAGTCTCTCCATGAGTTAGAATCAAGAGCAAATTTTAATTTTCATTTTAATTAAATTTTAATTTTAGTTTGTACAAGAGTTACCCTTAAGATCTTTAAATTATTTTTTCTTCCCTTTACCAACACATAAGAGAAAAATCCACCAGCTTCTGCACCTTTTCAATATATTTATGATTTCCACTAATGTGCTAAGAATAGAGTAAAACATTTAGCAGATTAAAATTCCTACTCAGACACGTAGGAAAAAATCTTCAAGCTTCATAACCAGAGCCCCTGTTTCCTCAGTGTCATATAAATTATTCATTATGGACTCTGTGGAAATGCCCTCACTATGGACAGAAGTGACTGGAAGAGATCCATATTTGTTCCTATTCCCAAGAAAGGTGATCCAACAAGATGTGGAAATTATCAGACAATATTGTTACTATTATTTGCAAAAGAAATACTGATGAATTTTACTCTAAAATGGCTAGAATAGCACATTGAGAGAGAATTGTCAAGAGTTCAAGCTTGGTTTAGAAGAGGTCACACATAGTCATTGCTGTCAGATGGATCTTGGCTGAAAGCAGAAAATACCAAAAGAATGTCTATCTGTGTTTTATTGACTATGCAAAAGCCTTGGGTTGGGTACCTCATAAGAAACCATAGCCAACACTGGGAAGAACGGTAATTTAAAAATACTTAATGGTGCTCATGTGAGACTTAGACCTAGACCAAGAAGCTGTTGTGTGAACACAGCAAGGAAACACTGCATAGTTTATAATCAGGAACGGTGTGTGTTAGGAGAGTATCTTTTCTCCATATCTATCCAAGTGGTAGACTGAGAAAATTAGTCATGAAGCTGAACTTTATGAAGAAGAATATGACATCAGAAGTGGAGGAAGACTCATTAACAACATGAAGACGACATAATCTTGCATGCTGAAAGTAAGGACTTAAAACTCTTACAGCAAAGGACTGAAGACTCCATACAGCCTTCAATGTGGATTCCATCTCAACATCAAAAAGACAGAAATCCTCACCAGTGTGCAAAAGCAACATCATAATAGATGAAGAAAAGAGAGAAATTGCCAACAATTTCATCTTACTTGGATCCATAATCAACAACTTTGGCACCAGCAGTAGGGGGGTAGATGTATTGTATTGGGCTAATCTGTTGTCAAGGATCTCTCCAAATTACTGAGAAGCAATGATGTCAGTTTGATGACTAAAATGTGTCTGATTCAGGCCATGGTCTTTTCTATTTGCTATGCATCTGAGAGCTGGACAATAAATAATGATGACAGAAGAGCTGATAGCTTTGAGTAGTGGTGTTAGAGAAGAGCTTGGAATATCCTATGAACTGCAACACCACCAACAACCCCAGATGTATCTTGGGAAAAGTGCAGCCAGAGTGCTCCTTGGAGGCAAGAATGGTGAAACATCATTGCACATATTTTGGTTATGAAGAAACCTAGTTTTACTAGGAAGACTATTCCTTGGACAGGGACATGATGCTTGGAAATGTAGAAGCTCACTGAAAGACAGGAAGCCCCTCAACAGGATGATTGGCACAGTGACTGCTGCAAGGCATTTAAGTACATGAGACATGCTGAGGATGGCACAGGATAGGTCAAGGTTAAAGTCTGTAGTTCATATGGTCGCTACGAGGCATACTTGATCAATGGCACCCAACAACAGTAACAACATAAGACAGTACACTTCTGCTCTTTTTCATAGGTTTACCTTTGAGGACACCTGCTGCCATATCTCTGAAATCACCACAGGGACAAGATGTGTTGTTGTTATTGTTGTTATGTGCCATAGACTTGCTTGCAACTCATAGCGACCCTGTGTACAAGAGCCCTAAACGCCGTTCTATCCTGTGCCAGCCTCACCATCTCAAACACACACATTCCCACCACTCCACTCACAGAATTGATCCATCTCATCGAGGGTCTTCCTCTCCTCCCCTCTTCCAAATATGATGTCCCTCTCCAAGGACCAGTCCCTCCTTGCAACATGCCCAAAGTAAAATCCTCGACTCCGAGAAGCACGCCAGCTTCACCCTCTCCAGGACAAACCTGTTTGTTCTCCTAGCAGTCCATGGTGTATTCAACACTCTTCTCCAGCACCACAGCTCAAAGGCATCAATTCTCTTTCTATCATCCGTATTCACTGTCCAACTCTCCGATGCATAGCACGTAATTGCAAAGACTACAGCCTGGATTAGGCGCACCTTAGTC